GGAACCCTGAGAGAACTGGCAATAGCACACTTTCCTGGATGTAAGACTATGGAAAAGGCCTGTACAGACACTACACTCCTTAGCTATACAGCTAATCGAGAGGGGTGGATTAATTGTTACAGCAAACAGATTGGAATGGGCTGTAAACACACTGTCTCCCTATAAATCGGCAGGTTTGGATGATATTCTACCAATACTGATTCAAAAAGGACTTTCAATAATTAAACCCTATCTCTTAGAACTATTAAGGGGCAGTATAGCATTTGGATACCTTCCTACAGAATGGAGAGGATCCAAACTGTGCTATATTCAAAAACCTGGAAACGGAACATATGATGATCCTAAGTCTTTCAGGCCAATATGCATTTCATCTTTTCTAATGAAGACATTGGATAAGATTTTGGATAGGCACATAAGAGAACAATTAGTGAACGCTGATTCGTTACATTCCAATCAATTCGCTTACCAACTTGGTAAATTATGTGAAGCTGCATTACATAATCTGGTATCAAGAATTGAAAAATCTATGAATCAGAAGGAAATAATAATTGGTACCTTCATAGACATAGAAGGTGCCTTTGATAGAACTTGTAAAACTATTATGCATACTCTAAGGACAAGAAAAATAGATCCACTTGTCACCAAATGGATTAGCGACATGTTGGATACATGAATTCTTAAAACTGAATTAGGAAACACCGTAATGTGGATTAAACCTAGAGGAGGTTGTCTACAGGAAGGTGTGCTCTCTCCATCACTGTGGTGCTCGGTGGTGGACTCCTTGCTCTTAAAACTAAACACTGCAGGCTTTTATGCACAAGGATATGCGGATGATATCGCTATTCTTATTGGTGGAAAATACCAAAATGTTCTATCTGATCTGTTGAGAAATGTGACAGGAGTCTTGGAGGGATGGTCTAGTGGACTTAGTGTCAACCCGGCCAAGATAAATGTTTGCAACTTTACAAAGAAAAAAAAAGTAGAAGTAAGACTACCTAAAATAAATAATAACCAGCTAACAGAAAGTAAGGAGGTAAAACACCTAGGTGTTATGCTGGACAATAAAATGATGTGGAGTACACAACTAATAAAGCTCTAAAATGCCTCTGGGCATGTAAGAATGCTGTAGGGAAGGCATGGGGACTAAAACGTCGGATGGTCTACTGGCTGTATGTTGCAGCAGTCAGACCTGTGTTTTTATATTCAACTGTTGTATGGTGGCATAGGACAAGAATGGGACACAACAGGATACAATTGGAAAAATTACAGATTAGCCTGTTTAATGATAACGAGCGCAATGAAAACAACTTCGACTGTAGCTATGGAAGTAATGTTAGGTCTTTTACCACTGCAACTGGAGATTGAAAAGCAGGGCATAAAAACTTTTTACAGGCTACAAAAATTAAACTTATGTTCAAAGATAAACACCCTGGAGGGACATTTGAAAATAATAAAAAAACTTGAGGCGGACGGGTGAGTTGCTCACAATGCATTCTGACACTCAAACTAGAGAATTTCTCACAAAGATGTATAATGTAAAAATAGACAGCTCAGGAAAACACAAACCCATAAATGGGATTAATTATTATACTGATGGGTCATTCATGACTTGCGGATCTGGTGCTGGTTTTTGGAGAAGGGATGAACCAGAGGCTGGTATGTCAATAGCACTTGGAAATTATTCAACAGTGTTCCAATTTGAAATACTGGCGATATTTCACTGCGCTTCAAAAATGTTACTTAACAGGTCAGTTGGGAAGAGAATCACAATATATACTGACAGTCAAGAGGCCATATGAGCACAGGACAACTATACAACTAGATCTAAGGCTGTTGGGGATTGTGTTAGAATTCTCAATGACTTATCCAGACTTAATAAGGTAAACATTGAATGGGTTCCGGGTCATTCTGAAATGCATGGTAATGAGATGGCGGATGAATTAGCTGGATTAAGCTCACAAATGATACCTATAGCTTCAGAACCCATCTGTGGAATCAGTCAGTGTCTAATAACAAACAGAATCGGGGAGATGTATAGTGCTGAAACTAAAACGAACTGGTGCTTGAAAAAACAGACTCACTCTAGACTGCTTCTGGAAGAAATCTGTTAAAAAAGAAGTCACTTCCTAATTAATCTGAGCAGGAGCTCACTTAAGAAAATTATACAGGGCACTGTGAACTGAATTATCATATGTTCAAACTGCGGCTCACGGAGTTGTTTCTTTGTAGATACTGTGGCCGGGAGGATGAGACAGCTTATCATATTACTTGCTGGTGCGACAGGTTTGCTGGACTAAGATTCCGATTGTTTGGCATTGATAGAGTGATTGACTCCAAGGCAAACAAGTTTATCAATCCAACAAGCTTATTACAGTTCATTGAGACTGCAGGAATTACACTCTAAACAGGAGTGACTTTAAATTAGGCCTACATGGCCACAGAGCACTCGTGCCACTTTTAAAAAATAAAAAATAAAATTCGAAAATAAAGACGATGAAGTAATAAAATTAGAAATTAAAGACTAGGGTAAACACGTATAGAACTCATATAGCGAGCCGACTTTTATTAACTAAATTACAAAAACCACAAGTACATATATCAATTCATTTAGTACAAAAAATAGTATCTATAATAAGGAAAGGAAATAAACATTGGTAAATGAATGCATAAATTAATGTTGAACTTCAAAAGACCCTTATATCGACTAAATCTGAAACTGTGCAATAAATAAATTACTCATATCGACCAAATAATCCTAAAATTGATAATATATTCTAAACCTATAACTTCAATAACATAACAATGAACCCTTATATCAAATAAATCTAAAAACATAGAATCATTAAGGTACTGTCTTATTATAATAACCTAATAAAAAATAACAATGTTTCAACAATTAAATATTCTGTTATAGTCACCATACATTTTCATTATTAGTATATATTATTTGAATTATTTATTTAAATTTGGCTAGGTACAAAGTTCGTATTACTTTAAATTTTGTATTTTTTATTAAAAAAATTCCCATGAGAAATTCCCAGAATTAATTCTGCATCCTACACTAAGAACTAATGCTGCATCCTATCATGCTAATGCACACCTTGTCTAAGAGGTAAAGGGAAACCAGTCACCAAACAGGTTTGTCAAAAAGCCGATTAAAGTGCTATAATATCCTCCTATAGTAACACTATAAACATAAAAAAATATAAGGAGTGAAAACCAGAGAAAAAAAGCAACCAGATCATTAATAATTTAACCAAATCATCAGATTTACAAAGATACATACCACATATAATGAACTCAGTAAAACTGATATTAAATGATTTCATATTTTTAAAAAATTCGGTTGTGTGAATAGAGTTACAAATTTAGTCTATTTTTTTTTTTTAAGTTTTGTGTCCAAATAAAAGTTTTTAACTTCCAAGAGAGTATTAATACTATTTTGAAATCTAGTTATCATTTATAACAGGGAGGTATATTTAGAACCCTGACAAAACAGAACACAATCATAAATACTTAAGCAGAAACAATTACAATATAACTCTAAAGCTGACTAAACATGAAAAACCAAACATAAATGCATTGAAATTCTACCGATAACATATATGACACATAAACAAGGGCAAATAGAATATATACTCAACCATCTATTACAGACTATATTTAGCATGAAGACAACATTTTTTGAAAATCAAATGCACACATAATTGACAGAATGTACGTAATTTGTAAGGACTTCAAGACAACGAGAAATTGGGAGAGGTAAAATGGATTAGGAAGCACACTGTACAGCTGTATGTACAGTGCATTTAAGATAAGTTTGCCGGTGGGTAGAGGGGAGAGAGGTGCTCGGTGTCAAAAATTGTTCCCACCAGTTCTCTTCTCTTTTATCTTCACTCATTCTTACAATTTTTACAAGTTGAAATTTTTTTCACCAATTTTTATTTCATTTATTTTATGAAATTTGAATTTAGAAGAAAACTTAACATCAAAAAATTTGTTCCCGGTATGAGGTGATTGCAAGGACGAGGAGGGGATGTGGAGCTTGGGAGGAGAAAGGCTGCGCGAGCCCCTTTTCCCTACAGGCAAATTTATCTTAGAAGCACTATGCCTTTCATCAAATAAGGATAATTCTGAGAACCTCTTGTGCCTCGTTTTTTTATAGTTTTAGTTCACTTTACTTAGATTATTTTATTTATTTATAAACTTAATTTCATGTACTTACATAAATTGCTACCAATCATGCATTTAAATCTCAATTTCAATTCCTTTGTTGTTTGTTGTTCTTAATGTTTTATTATATTATTTATTTATAAAGGGAATGATAGGGTGAGAAGAGGTTTGCCTTTTTATCTTGGGTCTATATAGTTAGCTTTTGATAACTAAATATATACTTATAATTAATGCTATTAATATGCTTCAATAATAAGAAATGACCGAAATATATCGTAAAAAATATATATATAATCCTTAAATGGGGTTACCAAGTAAGAAAAAGATTACACACATATACATTTCTAGTAAATAAAATCGAATGCACTTCGAATTTGTATATTGTTGTATTCCCACATGTAAATTGGTTAGGTAAAGAAAATATAATATCTCTGGGACTTGTGAATAGGAATAAGTGCAATTTTGTGAATTTCAAACCTAATTTTTTTCTCTTTGAGTCAAATGGAACAAATGATATTGCTATATAAAGAACAGTATTCCTTCTGTAATATCCATATATTAAGTCTTCCATTAAACAAAATGAAAGAGAAAAAAATTAGGTTTGAAATATATAACTTAAAATTCACAAAATTGGACTAAACCCTTTATTCACAAGTTCCACAGATATAAAAACAAGGATAAATGGCTAATTAATAAAATTAAAAAAAACAGAAATGGTATTTAAAAAAAAAAACTTATGGAAAGAAAAAGTAAATGTACGTAAAAAGAAAAGAACAATAATTGTCTTTGTTTCTTCAATAAATTTTTAAATAATCAATTTCAAGTACCTGGTATTACTACCCCTGGCTTCTATCTTTGCAGAAGATTACTGTTACTTAATGGAACTTTTGAAAAGGTTGTTCTTTGTGAAGCAGTTGGGAGTGCTACGCTGATTACATACCCAGAGAATTCCGTTCGTTTCATAGGTTCCCTGAGAAATTTGTTTAAAGGGATTAAGGTCTTGGGAGGATAAATGAGTAACTACTTGAAAAAAGAAGGAACTGCCTGGTCTAGAACACTGAAATTACAGTTGTGAGAAATTATGTATGGCTCACCATCAAAGACCTTTGAGCCATGTACCGTCATGGCTGGAACCGATTCGGTATGCCTCATTTCTCTTATTACTATAAACAAAAATTATTTTTTAACAAATCATCTTTTCTTTCCCTTCCATTCCTCTCTACTGCAAATTATAATTTTCTTTTTACTATTAGAGTATTTTTTCTTTCTTTTTTTAAAAATAATTGTGGCATATTTATTTCAGTGTTTACAGAAACCAATGCATGCACCTGATCTACAAAAGGTAAGTACATAAAATACAATTTTTACATTATAATCATAAATATTACTCCTTTATAATTTTCATCAGAAACAGACGTCTTATGTGTTCAATAACCTTTATCTTTTCAGTAAAAGAATAAGAAAAACACTTTACTTTATAGATTGAACACTAAATTAGAAACAAAAAGAAGTGACAATTGTTGAAATTTACCAATCATAATATAGGAAACTAATCAAATACAGTATTACATATCTCCATAGTAAGGATATTGTTAGCTAAATCCAATTTGAATGCAAGATTATTGATCTTAGATGATTGATAATCATCTAACTGCACATATTAATATTTGTTTCTTAGAAAACAAAACTATAGCTAAACTATTGTTAAAAGTAATAAAAAGCAATTATATTAATATTTTTTCTTCTGAAAACAGTCTTTTAATGAAGAGTTTGGACATATTAACAAAACTTAGAATATAATTTATAAAAAATAGGATAAATCATTAACAAATAAAATGAAATTAAGAATTTTTAGAAGCAGTTACTAGCAGATATCATAAAATTGTAATGAAAAATATTATTACTGGAAATCAGGAAATAAAAGCAACTATACCATTATGAAATAAATAAATCTTAATGGTCATAATTAGGACTAAATTTGTAAATTAATTAATATAAGAACCTTAAATTATACAAAAAATTAAACAAATTATTTATAGTCTGTGGGCCAACCCCCTCCCCATCCCATATCCCTATAAATTACACATTGCTGAGTTTCTTGAGACTATTGTGTTACCAGAAAAAAAAGTGGGTAAACTTCTGAAATGGTATCCAAAGATGGCGGACAAGTGAATTTGACTTGAGGTACTTTTTCAGTCACTGTCATTCAGAATTCGGCTCAATTATGCATTTATTGGCATTTTATCCAAGTTGGTGAATCAGAGAATCACAAAACATAAACTAACTTTCTAAATAACTTAGAAATTAAAAAAATAATATAAAATCAAATGTAAACAAGTTGTCTAAATAAGTTTAATTGCTAATAAAAGACCAGTTAAGTTATTTTTTCTAAATCATATACACAAAAAAGTTGTAAACTCAAGCGCAGTAGTAATAAAAGGATCAACAATAACAAAAGAGCCTTCAAATAAAATACATGGAGCAATCATTCTTCAGTAACTTTATAAAATATTTAAAATGGTTCCTTGAAGCAATAAGTGATTTTTACTCAAGGCCAAATGGAACATGGAATGAGCGTGAGGAAAAAATACTGTATGGATTTTTCAGAGTGAAGCAGAGTAGCTGGAATTCCATTAGTCCTAAACTCCAGAAATCATACCAGGCCAAAATCCAATTACTCCAAATTTTTGTAGGAGTGTGGAAAACTAATGAAATAGACCAGTTTAGGCGGTGCTGCAATAATAATTGTTAATGGCATCAATCCAAGGTATATACAAACCTTAAATATGAAATTTCACTATCATACGACTTTTCGTTTTTGAGCTAGACTGATCACATACACACACACACACACATACACTTTGCAGGACTTGGTTATTTGGAATCAGGAGACCTCAAAAAATGTATTTCTGTTTAAAACACAGATTCAAAAATTTTCACGATCGCAATATTATCCTTACTACTTACTATATATTGCATAAATAGGTAAGTGAAAGTAAAAAGTTTTTAGTGACTTTTATATTTTATTTTGATAATTTTATGGTCATTAGTTGAATGCATTAATATAAACAAAAATACAAACGTTTAGATTTTTTGGACTTACGGCTTTTGAGTTATGAATTTTTAAAATAATAAAAAACCTCGTAAAACAGTGCATTTTTAAAATTGTTTTGGGACTATTTCTCAAGATCTATTTGACCTAGAAAGCTGAAACTAGTGTCATCTTCTTTGGTTGATTATGCTCTTTCTCTTGATATACAACATGAATATATTCTGAAATTATATTTTTTAAAGATTAACAAAACATTTATTTTTCAATTTTGAAAAAAAACTTTTTTATTTTTATTAAAGAATTATATATTATTCTATTGTAGCATACGGTGGCTAATAGCGTGAAAAATTTCGAAGTGTAGAAACAATGGGTTCACTAGATAAGAAAGGGGACATACAATAGGTACACTAAAAACGCTATCAAGGTACGCCAATATTAAAATATACAAATTTTTTAATTTAAATTTATGCATATACAGAGACAGGCAAAAGATTCCACCCACTTGATTTTTTCATGTTTTCATCTAAAAATATTTCTGCTTTGGATTGGTCTATTGTTTTTAATGAATAAATAGGTAATATTTTTGTTTGTTTTCAATTAGGAATGTTAATATAGAGGACAATAACCCTTAATCCTTAATTCAATTAAATGATTCTAGATTCTAATGTTTACTTTCTATTATGGAATCAAAATGTTTATTCAGTATCATTAGTTCAGTGTCGTTTCTTGCAGCACATTTCTTAGTCTCCGGCTTTTAATTTTTTCAATATTAAGTTTAAAAATGCCTCTTAGTGCTGAGGATATTGTGCGTGGTGTGGCACTTATTGACGATGGACGTTCCATTAGATATGCAGCTAATGCCATCAGAGTTCCATATGAAACTTTACGAGACGCCCTCAGGCGTTTTGGGGAAACTGGTTCTTACAATAGAAAGTCCGGTTCTGGACGGCCTAGGGTAACAGAACCACGGGATGACCGGTTATTGACTTTGAGAATTTTACGAAACCGGCACCTTACCGTTGTTCAAGCGATTCATCAGCTTGAAGAAGTTCGAGGTGTGCAAATTTCTGAACGTACCGCTCGGAGAAGATTAAATGATTATGGATTAATGGCTTTTTGTCCAGTAAGAGGACCAGAGTTGACCAGAACTCAGAGTAACACAGCTGGCTTTTGCTCGAGAACACAGCCATTGGACTATGGACGAATGGAGTGCTGTACAGAATGAAGTTTTTACAGATAAGTCAAGATTCGCTCTTCGATCTCCAGACAGGCATGAAAGGGTGTGGAGAAAAAGAAACGAAAGATATACAGCCTGTAATTATTCCCAGAGCCAACCTTTCCAATGTGGTTCCTTAATGGCTGGGATTTCAATGGAGCGCCGCACAGAGTTGGTTGTTGTTTGTGGAGGGTCTTTGACGGCCATTCGCTATATAGATGACATTTTGGAACCTCATATGTTGCCTATGCTCAACAACATCGGCGATTGTTCTATTCTAATGCACGATAATGCATGCCCACATGTCGTCCGCATAGTGCAGACGTTCCTTCAACAGAACAATATTGAGATTTTAGCCTGGCCAGCACGTTCTCCAGATTTTAACCCCATTGAGATTTTATGGGATAACCTCGGAAGACGAATAAGAGCGCGTGCAATACTTCCTGATACACTTTAGGATTTTGAAAGGGCTATCCTCCAGCAAAGGGACATTTCCCGACTGGTGGAAAGTATGGAAAGAGGCGTCTTCAAGAAGTAGTGAAGGCAAGAGGAGGAAACACGCGCTACTAAACGATGATGTAATTAATTTCTTTTAGAATAAGAATGGTTCGTTTTTCAATTATTTTTTTCTCTAATCTTTCTTATCCTATCACATTTTGATTATTAAAGGTAAAAAAAGATTATAAAATTCCATAAATACTAAGTATTATCTACAAATACCATGTATTATATACAAATACAACTTTTTTTAAAAGTGGGTGAACTATTTTTAGATGAAAACATGAAAAAATCAAGTGGATGGAATTTTTTGCCTGTCAGTGTATATTTTTATTTAAATGTTACTTACATATAAGTTTATTAAAAAAAGTACAAACACTTGAATACAATATATATATATATATATATATATATATATATATATATATATATATATATAACTGTTCAAGTGTCTCTTATTTTTTATATATTTTGTAAAATGTTTATTTATTAATTTCTTCACTGAATAGTGTATGTGTCCTCCCAATTGCAGTCCCTAGGCCAATCTTTTTCAGTAGTCTCAGTTTGTACAACCAAAATGTCAGATTTAGGCTGTGGATAGTAGAATAATGCTGCAGGTTCTTAAGGGTGCAAGAAACTAATTTTTATTTTCCAACTTTTATTTATTTTACTTATATTTATTTATTTTATTTTGATTCATTTTTTACTTACATTACTTCTTCGTTTTTTGTTTGTATTTATTTGCCTCCAGGAAAAACAATTTGTAAAAAAAAAATTAGTTTCACATTAAATTACAATATATAGTAACTAATTATAAGGCAAAGTAGACGAAGTAGCAAACTTTAAAAATTGTTAACACCGTCAAGGTAATCATAATAAGGTAAGTGTCAATATTAGAGTAAGTATACCGTAAGTGTATAAAAAATAATATTTAATGCATCTTAAGGCTATATAAATAAAATAAAATAAATCTTGGACTATGTACATATTTACAATTTCATTTGTAAATATGGCATTCAAGTTTTTGTATTTCTTTGAATAAATGTACACGTAAGTAACATTTAAATAAAAATATATTTGCATAAATTTAAATTTAAAAATATGTATATTTAAATATTGGCAAACCTTGACAGCATTTTTAGTGAACCTATTGTAGGTCAAAATTTTTGTCTGTTTTCCTTTGAAAATAATAGACTGTTTGCACTATATTGAAAGTCATTAGTGGAAGGCAGAGTTGTGGTTTCCATCCGTTTTGGAACCCTCAGAGCACAATTCTGCAATTTTTAGAGATATCAGTTATATACATATATACAGTAGCTTAATATATGTGCTAGTGGACGGTGCTGAGACTGTCGGTGTGTCCCTGGCCTGATCGAAGCTCTATTTTTTAAAATTCTAGCTTTGAAGAGGATCCCATCGTTGATTTATAAAAAGAAAATACCGGGATCGAAACATCAATAAACATAGAAGAAATGAACATTCTTCATTTTATTAAATCAATTAAGTTTATCAAATAATTAATAAGTGACCTCATTCTCAATTAAATATTTAAGTTTAAATTTAATATTCAAAGGTCGATTAAGGAAAAGTTGTAAATACATATATATATTTCTCACTACATTTCGGCTTCCCTAGCAGCCCCTGTTCGACCGAATAAGCTGAAATTCGGTATATTAAGTTTGTTCCCAGGCAGAACAATACTATTAAACTTTGGAAAAATTTCGGCATATAAGAACGTTTCTCCACGTTTTTCCCTGTTTTTAAAGTATTTCGCATCTCCACAGCTCCTCCTAACAAAATTGGAAGGTTAAAATTTTGTAAATATATTAAATTGGTGTTGAAGGGTCTCATCATCATTTGGGAGGTCTCATCACCAGCTGCCAATTTGTTTCTAGATGGCGAGAAAAACCTGTTTCTCTATAGAATACAGCACTAAAACGGTACTGATAAAAACTTTCTTAAAGTATTCCCCTTGAAACACTATAAATTTATGTATATAACAAAGTTTCTTGATAAAAGACTAGAAAAGGAGTTTTGTAGAATACAAAACTTTATCTGCGAATAGCTCAAAAAGGGTGCAATTTTTGCCCTTTTGGTGTCAGAACATATTTTGAGGACATTTAAATTTCTTAAACCATAAAAAAAACTTTCATCGAAATCCGTCCAGTAATTACAGAGATCAGTGATACAGTTTCTTTAAAACAAAACAACGGCCAGCTTTAGAACATTTGGTACATATTTGGAACACAATATCTTTTTAACAATCAAGTTTTGTACTTTTATTAAGTCAGACAGGTTTTTTTGTTAAATAGAAAGTTGTACAAGACATCCCCCTGTATTTATTCCTTTAGGTGACATTATGTGAGGGAATGAGAAGGAATATATAGGAATGAGAGGCTGCACGATGAATTGTAATCAATTATGCAGTGAACAAATTATTCATTGAAAAGAAGGTTCAAGAATCTAATCTTAACCATTTGAGAAGAAGAGGTTTTGCTAGAAGACTAGAAAAAGTCAGTTATATGTCCTATTTTCAAAAAAGGTGATAAACTCCAGTGTAAAAAAAAAAAAAATTACAGGAGTATCTCTCTTCTGGATATAATATTTTATCTAACATCCTGTTCCAGCATCTTCTACCCTTTGCAGAGCAGAAGCTTGGTCCTTACCAATGCGGATTTAGACAAGGAAGATCTACAAAAGATCAAATATTCTGCCTGAGAGCAGAAACGAACATCAAATTAAAGCCCACTATCATTTTGCAGACTTCAAGACAGCTTACAAACGCATAAACCAGGAAGAACTGTATAGCACTTGAAGGATTCAATATCCCAGGTAAGCTAATATGACCGGTAAAGTTGACCATGAGAGATGGGAAGAGTACTGTGCAGGTTGGAGGTCAAAGGACAGAAGTGTTCTTCTCAACAAAAGGACTTTGCCAAGGTGAAGCATTAATATGCCCCATGTTTAACTTGGCACATGAGAAGGCAGTGAGGGATTCTGGTCTGCAAACTAATGTTTCTGTTTACAATTGGATGGATCAGCTGTTAGGCAATGCAGATGATGTGGACATCATGGGACAGTCGTTACAGTCTGTTAGAAAAGGATTTTGAGTTCTGTTGGAGGGCGCCAGAGCACTTGGGTTAGAAATGAATAAAGGCAAAACTATATATATGGCCACATGAGAAGTCCCTCGACCTGGCGAGATCATCAATACTGGCCTCTGACATTGAGAAAGTAGTGCAGTTCAAGTATTTGGGGTCACTGGTAACACAAGACAATGCACCCGAGGTTGAGATCAAGAAAAGAATATTAATGGCTAACAAGTGTTACTTTGCCCTTCTCAAGGAGTTCACCTCTCGCCTTCTATCTTGGCAAAACAAGTTACATCTTTACAAAACATTAGTCCTGTTGTATGCATCCTAAAATGGACGACAACCAAAATAATTGAATAAGACCTACTATTCTTAGAGAGAAAAATTCTTCAAAGAATATTTGGAGGAGTACAGATTGATGAAATTGGAGAAGGCGGACTGACGTCAAAATTTACTCGATTTTTAATGATCAAGATGTGGTTCTGAGAATGAATTTTGGAAGGCTAAGATGGGCTGGACACATGGCTAGGATGAAGAATGATCTTTAAGATGATACTGACAGAACCTCTCTACGGCACAAAAAGGAGGGGGATACCAAAATTAATATGGTCCGATGGTGTGGCAGGATATTCAAGGGATGCCCTGGGAGTCAGGAGCTGGATGAGGCCGCATAAAACAGAGATGACTGGAGGAAACTGATGGAGGAGGCAGACTTGTCACCAAGTTGTAGCGCCATGATAGTTACTAACTAAGTTGTATTTACAATTGCCAATGTTTCAGCCCAAGTTTCAGGTCTACATCATGGCTAAGAAAAACAAGATAATATAAATATGAGAAACTATTAGACAGTAAAAGTAATAATATGTTTTCTTATCACTTTTTGTTAGTGTATAAGGTTGAAATTTTGATCCATTCCATAGTACTTAACCTGGCTATCGAAAAGGCAATAAGAGCAATTAGAACCAACCCGGGAGAAAATATCTATAGCAGGCTTACCCAACATATGGCCTATGCAGATGATGTAGCCATCACAGTGTGTACACTACCAGCCCTTTCAGGAGCGCTGGAAGAGTTTGAAGTGGCGGCAGCGAGTAGAGACTTGAAAATTAATGAAGCTAAAACGGAGTATATGAGGACGTTTAGAACTCAATTAGGTCAAGAAGAAGTGCAAATTAATGGGCACAAATTTAAGCGCTGCAAGATCTTCAACTACCAATGCAGAGATCAAAGGCAGAATAGCAGCTGCCTTTTTGCGCTTAATAAACTGCTTAAATTTCAGGTATTGTCTCAAAAAACAAAAATAACCATATACAAGACAATAATAAGACCAGTGGTGATATATGGAAGTGAGTGCTGGGTGATGACCAAGGAGAGTGAGACGATCATGAAGGTTTGGGAGAGAAAAATCCTTCGAAAGACATTTGACCCAGTAAGCAAGGATGGCCATGGGAAAATTAGGAAAAACAGAGAGCTCGAACAGCTTTTTGGTAAGCCTAATATTGTGGCATTCATCAAAGAAGGAAGACTGCGATCAGAGGCTATGAAAAAAGATAATGAATGGCAGGCCAGACAGAAGGAGACTAGCAGGAAGACCAAGGCTGAGGTGGTTAGATGAAGTAGAGGATGATTTGAGACGGATAGGAGCAAGAGGATAGCGAAGGAAGGCAGGAATGGCCATCAATTATAAGTGAGTCCAACTAGGGCTGTAGTGCCATTAAGTAAGTAGAATAAACTAATTGACTCAATAAAAAAACAAAATTGATAAAAGACTAAATTTGCTGCCAATTAAAACAAATTTGCAAAGATCAAAAGTATAGCTTTGGATCACATTAATGTAGAAAATTTCTCTGAAAATGTGTATATAACTGGTACATTTACCTTAATTTAAATTTGTTTAATGCAAGCTTATATACAAGCACACTTATATTCATTTTTACACTTTATGTTCTTTACAATTTTGATTAGTAGATAACTCTATCAAACAGAAAAAAATTCCATCCTCAATCCCAATGGTGTCCAAGTATTGTAGGATGTTCCACAGAATGTCATTTATGAGTACTGAATGATATAGCATAAGAATGAAAGTGTTTACATCACTACCACTTTAGAAAAAAGGAAAGGCATCTTCTACAATAATACTTCAAAAAATTAAAAAAGGTACTAGTGGTCTTTAAAGAAGAATTGTTCCACACACTTATTATAAGACTTTTTTGTTATTACTGGACCTATAACTAGCACTCCACTGAAATAAATGGATTTTAATGGTACTTTTAAATGCTTGAGCCAATAAATTTTTATTCACGATTCATTAACTATCCAGCTTTAATAAAAGGCCAATCATGATGAAAATAGCCAAATTTGTTAGTTCACCTTCTTGGAATATTGTGCCCACTCTTTTTCCTTAGAAATATTGGCTTTTATTTTAACTAGTAATTGAAAGAAACACAAAGTGTAGGGAACGGGAAGGAGGGGGGGGGAGAGGATTTCCAGCCCACAAACTTGCAAGGAAATGTAAAAATCTGTGTAAATTTTATTTCATAATTCACTATTTAATATAAAATAAATCTCTTATCAGTTTTCTAATAACCTGTTGATGGACGAAAAAAAAAAAAATTCAAATATTTAATTAATAATTCCAATTCTATCAATTTTCATCAAAATGATCCTATCGAAAAAAATTAAATTTAAATAACAAACCAAATAAAATAATTTGTGATAGTATAAAATTTTGTAGAAAGGATTCTAAGAAATGTTAAAAATTATTAAAAAATGTGAAGGACCAATAAAATATCCTTCCAGAAAAGATTTCTTAACACAAGTTATTATGACTTATTCAATAATAATAAACATAACTTAAATAATGAAATTCATAAGATCACTTACCTGCAGCGATATGTTTTAAGAATTTTTTTATGATATTCATAATTACTAAGCAGCATTGACAATGATGTTATTAGTTCAGATTGAGGAAAACTCTTTTCTTTGGCTTCTGCTATCAATCTTTTCAGAGTATCAGCATCTAAATAAATACAAAAAAATAATAATAATACTATAATAAAAAAATAATATAATGCCTATAGTTCAGAGCTGGGCATATTTATATTAAAAAATATAAATACGAATACCATTTATATTTATGGTACAAATGAATATAAATACGAATATATTTGTATTCATAAAAAGTAATATGAATACAGAAGATACATATTCACGACTGTAAATATAAATATGGCCGTATTTACGACTGTAAAAGTGAATACGGCTGTATTTACACCTGTAAAAGTGAATACGGCAGAATTCATGTTTACTAAAATGAATACACTTAAATTTACAGAAGTGAATGGAAATATTTTCGTACAACCTTATTAATGAATAACTTATTTATTTAAAAAAAAATGTATTTATTTAAAAAAATATATTTACTATATATATCATTTTATTTTTATATATAGTATTATATTCTGCCTTTTACAATATGTTATGTTAATTATGTTGCAATGTATTATATTATATTAATTATCCTTTGTAATGTTTGTACATAAAATAAATTCTTGAGCCTTTGTATGTAAGCACTTATGTGCTAGAGAATTAATATCCATATTTCAAAAATCTTTATAATATCGATGAAAATATCGACTATCGATACTTTCATATTCAAAGTCCAATATTTTGATGGTATCGATAGTTATGGGCTGATATTAATATCGATGACAATATAGATATTGGGGCTTTCGATATTCTATCCATAGATTGTCAATATTTTGAAGAAAAAAAAATTAAAATTTTCATAGCACCCCTAAGAGTTCGTTTCGTAGATAGTTAAGCAATTAAAACCACTAAAAAAGAAAAAAAAAGAACGAAGATGTGGGAGGTTAACTTCACACTTTGTGCAACTTTGAAACTTTATAACTGTTTTGTTATCAAATTTAGAAATATGGTTAATCTATCTGAATATTACAAATCATCTAAACTTTAGACCAAAAATTTGTAATGTACAAAAAAGTTAAAAAAGGTTCTTTAACATGAGGGCCATAACATATTCATGCCATAACTGAGCTATAAAAGGTTTTTATGAAAAAAAAATCTATTTATCTATATAAATCTATTTTTTTACATATAAGGATCCACTATTATGTTGTTGAAGGCGCTATAAAAATGTAAAACGCATATTGATTTTAATAATTTCCTTATAATTGAAGTTCATTACTTTTTTTTAATTTATAATATAGGTTGGACGTATCGGGAAATGTTGTTACGGGTCTGTCATTTTTTTTTTAAGATGTTGATCAACAATAATAAAATGAATGAATAGCTCATAAATATGTAGAATTATAGATAAACAAAAGGAGAGGACCATAAAAGTTCCCATAATTAAATTCCCAATGATCAACATGTCTTCCTCTAAAGTTCCTTTAATTTGGTATATTTTAAATAATTAACTATCTCTCATTGTTAGGAAGGAGTTATGAAAAAAGGCTAAATATAACTTTTGAAAAAATTTGATAATTTAATAAAGGAGAAAAAAGAAAAATGCTTATCCAGATTGAAAATGAATCTGCGGAAAATAATAGTCATAAGGTATATTAAAGTTGTTACGTTAAATAATGATAATTTTCAGAAATTATTATTTGTATTTTTTTTGTTAGCTCTCCATTCACTTCTATAACTTTATTTATTAGAAAATATAATATCTAATAAATAAAGTTGTAGAAAGTAACGGAGAATGACAAAAAAACATAAATAATAATTTCTGAAAACTAACATTATTTAACATAAATCATTTATGTTTATTTAACATTTAACATTATTTAACATAGAATCACAAGTTTTCAAGGAAATTAAATGAAATTTTCTTACTAAATGTAAAATTTTAAAAAAATTTAAGTTTGAAAAAAGTATTTAAAATCCGCAGAATCAAGGCAATGACATTGTTTAAGACACTATTTCATTGTACTTGTGTGAAAGAAGAAGTGAAATACAAAAATATTTCATGAATATGTTTTTAAACCTTCAATACATTTACTGTAGTTCAATAACTCTAGATATGATATTATATTTAAATAATTAGATATCTATCATCTGTTTATGCCGAAAAATCATCATATAACCTTTTAGAAAATTAAATTAGATAACAATTTGATGAATTTTCCCTTTATGAAATCCCAACATTATCCACTTACAATTAGTGTGAATACTTTGACCTATCTATGACAAGCAATTCAAATATCGTAATTCTATTTTAGTCAACTTTGCAATGGAATATAATAGTTTAATAACTAATAGTCAACTCTGCCAGCTATATATAGCTGCAGGTCCCAAGCCCTGGTAAAGGAGGAGGGTCCCATTACAGCCTGAATGGGTGTATTCTTAGCAATGAAACACCGTCTCATGTCATTAATGGTGGTATAACAACTTTCCCGTGAAGTAATGGGAGAGCTGGCCTGAAAGCTCTAAAGGAGACAATCCCTCCATCAGGCTCTGGGCACAGTAGGCTCATAACTTACTTGCCCGAGACCTAACTTATGAAAGAAACTAAAGAGTATAGAGCCGATCAGTTTTCAAGGATTAAGACATGGCGCGGAAAAAGGATTATTCGATTTGGAACATGGAATGTTAAAGGCATTAATGGAAAGGAAGTAGAGCTGGTGGAGGAAGTGAAGAAAGCAGGAATTACCTTGTTGGGAATTACAGAAACCAAAAAGAAAGGAATAGGGGAGGAGCAAATCGGAGATTTTGTGATGGTATACTCAGGAGTAAACCCCATTGAACATGGTAAGAGCGGGGTAGCTTGCCTATTCCACAAAGACATATCCAGGTTCATAACAGAATGGAAAGCTATAAATGACAGATTATTAACAATCAAATTTTTATGGGATAATAAACTCTACATACTGCTTGTTGCCTACGGGCCAAATAACAATGCACCCACTGCAGAAAAAGACATGTTCTTTGAGACATTGCAAAGAGAAATAGATGATAACGACGGGACCCCTATTATTATGGGAGACTTAAATGGCAGGGTTGGCAATGACAACAAAGTATGGCAGGGAACCTTAGGAAGGTATGGTGAAGAACATCTCAACGACTCAGGGGAACGAATCTTGAACCTATGTCTCGCAAACGGAATGGTCATCGCAAATAGCATATTTCCACATAAAAGAATACACCAATATACAAGAGTGGAACCAGGGCGAAATGAAAAATCAATAATAGATCACTTTCTCATACCAAGGGAAGAAATCAAAAATACAATAGACGTTAGGGTCGAGAGAGGCGCAGAAATTGGCAGCAATCACAGGCTCCTGAGGATGGACATCAGTCTGAATAAAGTTTTGATTAGGAAAGAAAGCAAAAGGTATCAAAAAGAACAAAAGATAAATGCCTACAAATTAAAAAACGAGGAAATAGCAACTGCCTATCAGAACATGATAGATGAAAAGGTACTTAGTGGAATATACCCCTGGGACTCGGACAAAGTTGAAACAGCTTAGTCAGCTTTCAACAAACTTCTGATGGACTCAGCAGAAATAACTTGTGGAAAAATAAATAGCGGACAAAGACTAAAGAGAACCGCATGGTGGAATGAAGACGTCAAACAGGAAGAAGATGTATTGGAAGCAGTATCTAAAATCGAATTCCCATAATGATTACGAAAAATAAGGTAATAGAAGCCAAAAGGAAAACGTGGGAAGATTTTGGAAGAAAGATGGAAGACAATTTCCGAGAAAATCAGAAGCTTTTTTACACAATGCTCCGAAACATGCGCAAAGAGAAAGAACCTGTTCTCAAGTGTATCAACGATAGAGAAGGAAATATCCTAACAAGCAACAAAGGGATCATGCAGAGATGGGCTGAATACTTCAAGGAACTTTTGGACGAAAATACTGAAAATGAAAATCAAGAAGCTGAACGGTCGAACGTGATCGAGATGGAAGAAGAAGATTTTATCAGCGAAGATGAAATTGTGGATGCTATAGGCACATTGAAAACAGGAAGATCAGCAGGAATTGATAGGATTGTCCCTGAAATGATCAAGTACATGAACCAAAAGGGGATATAAGTATTCCAGCACATTCTAAACATTGTTTGGAAAACAAAGAATATTCCAAAGGATTGGGAAGTATCTGTTATAGTCCCAATATTTAAGGGGATAACAGAGAATGTAACAACCACCGGGGGATATCTCTTCTTAGTGTCCCGAGTAAAATATACTCAAAGATTTTAGAGAAACGCCTTCGAAGAACAGCGGAATCCTCCCTGAGTGAAAAACAATATGGATTTAGGTCAAATAGCAGTACCCAGGATCTCATATTTACCTTGAGACAAATTTCTGAAAAATTAATAGAAAGGGACAAAGAGATATATGCCTGTTTTGTAGACCTCACTAAGGCATTTGACCGAGTGAAGAAACAAGACATAGCAAATGCCTTGGAAGACAAAGGCATCGAAACAGGCCTCCGTAAGACAATTCTAAGTCTCTATAAGACCCAAAGAAATTTTGTGAGAACATGCAATAACATATCGGAAGAGTTCACAACTAATCAAGGTATTAGGCAAGGGTGCAGTCTAAGTCCTCTGCTATTTACACTAGTGCTAGATAATGCAATAAAAATAGCAAAACAAAATATGAGATCATATCAAATGGGATACAGAAATCTACAGCCTGTATATTTCTCTCTGTTCGCTTATGCAGACGATTTGGTGGTTTTCGGAAGCAATGGACGAAACCTGCAATTCAACCTCCGCATTCTCCAGGAAGAATTGAGTAAAATTAATATGCGAATAAATGTGGAAAAAACCAAAACAATGAGGATTAGCAGAAAACAAGCAAGAGGAGACAGAATAGTGCACTTGAGTGGAGTCCCATTGGAACAAGTGAAAACTTTCAAATACCTTGGTGCCCACATCAATGAACATGGATGGATCGACAGAAAAATAAAGGAAAGAGTGAAGTCTGCAGGAAAGTGCTTCAACGCCATCAAGCAAGGATTCTTGAACAAGAGAGAAGTGAGTAAAGAG